GTCTTTCAGGAATCAAAACCAGAGTTCACTTTTTCACATTGAATAATTCCCATGCCAGCCTTGCAATTCAATATCTATCAGTGGCAATGTGACTGGCCCTTCTAACGCATAAGTACCTTATGGTTTTTTAACATACCTTCTTTCAATAGTTAAAAAAATCTATCTAGCTCTATATATTGTTCCTCTCCCCTAATGTTTGGAAAAAGCAATAATGACGCAATCTTCAAAATCCATCTCGGCTCTTTGACACTGTCCACACCCAACTGACTGGGATTATTCATTTGATACTCATCCTATAAAGTTACCAATGCATATAACATTACCATTCTGAACCTTCCACTAATTTATGGATATTCATTTCTATGGATTTGTGTTTTGCCTTTTTGTGGAATCTTCTTGTTGGTTTTAGTTACTTGCTTTTCTTTTTATAGGTCAGAATAACTGATGGTGCTTCTCTTTATGCCCTCTGCCGATCATGGTTGAGGAATGGCTTGTCTGTGGAAAGTCAGGTTTGCATCATGGAGATTGCCCTCTGTATGCATGTCGTATGTGCCACGTTTATTTACTAGTTCGTTATCATTGTTATTAAATCATGAGTTGTACATTAAGTTTTATGTTTTTACTTTGTATTTCATACTGTTTCCTGCATGATAAGAATAGTATGCATTATAATGCTTAAATCAGTTAGAAAAATGAAAACTATTCAATAAGGGTATTCATAGGAATCTCTTGGCATACCTGTCATTAGCTAAAAATCAGACATGATAAAAGACTCGAGTCTGAATGTTTACAGTAGCTCATGGTAGAAGAAAAAACCATACAGCTGCAGCTGCTGCTCTGCAATGTGCTCGTCTTTATTGACTAGACGCCAAAGTCATTACATACTCGTCATGTTGAACTATTGCTATCGCGTTCCTGGCTCACTTTGCTTGGTTGGCACATAACTTTTGCAACCTTGTAGAACAATATTTCCTGATGATTTAGTGAAACTAGCTAGTGTAGCTTTATTGCCTCAAACAGAGCTGCATTACAACTTTGTGGTATATGTCTTGAAACTCGGATGCTCAAAACTCATGACTTTCAGACTTGACTTTTTACTGACACATGATTTGCTCTTCGAAGCTCAAACTCTAGCTTGATCCAGTATGGGAAAATACGGATGCTCATAGCCCCACATCACCCGTGGATATTAAGGAGAATTTGACTGACCATGTCATCAATCTCTTCACTCACTGATTCTGCTTGGCATAACTAGGCAAAAGTAATTTTTTTAGTTATAGATTTGTTCTCGTTCCTTTTGGGTGCCCATCGAGAGTTGGGAGGCATATTTGGACATTTGACTGAGAAATAAAATTTGGGACATTAGTAACAAAATCTTATCAGCATGCCAAATTGTAAGGAAAATAACTGTGAAAGTGTAATCTTGATAGATTTTCATGCAATGAGAGAAAAAAAGTCATGTATGGTTTTTCTCCGTGGTATAGAAAAGATCATTGGTACCTTCCGATCCGATACCATTTCACCTTTCACCCGTCAACCATGAGTCTCACAAGAATTGGCCGAGTCATCCGAGACAACTCCGAATCAACCCTGGGTCTCGCCACCGAATCGACTGATAACGTACCACAACGGCTCTTGATATGACCTGAATCTCATGATATTAAATTTTTTCTTCTATTTAGTATTTTGTGTATACCACTCGATACAATTCCGCAATGCCGCCACCAATGCATATGCTTCTGATTTGATGTCAAATACTGGGATTTTGAACCATGGAAAAGACGTGGTGAATCTGCAGCTTGTTTCATGATGAAATTGGTTTGAACTTAAATACGGCTCTAATGTTGAAGTTTACAACACCTTTCCATTTGTCTCTTATTTTTTGTTGGCGTTTTGGATTTTGCATTAGGTTGCATTACAGGAAACTTGCTCTTAATACATTTCATGCTACCTGAATGGTCTATTTTGTTACTTATTGTTAGTGTTTTACCTTTCTTTGGCAGCCACAGAACATGGATGGTGTGAGGTCTCTTCCTAGACCTTTACCCATACCTGTGCGAGAAGCACATTCGCCAGCAAGAAAGGAAAGTGATAAAGAAGAGGAGCAGCAAGAGGTTGGTTCTTCAAGTTATTTTATTGCATTCTCATTATTTATAGTTAGGGACTAACATGTATCTTGGCAAACAAAGTGTTATATTATAACAACATACAAGGATAAATAACAACAAACGTTTGTCAATAGGTATCAGGATCTAGACCTGGAGATTAGTCGGGAAAGCACACGATTATATTTTGGGTGTTTGGCTGCACATGTTATACTTTGAAAATACCAATTAAAATGTAACAGCTTGAATTGTTTGTTTGACATACTTTTACAAATTCACTTAAATCTTTATCTTAGTTTGTAAATTACCCTCATGGCATAAATCACCATTATGATTCCTGGCATGATGTTAACCTGCACTTACTACCTTAAATCTGATTCATCTAATAATAATTAAAGGATAGTGGTAGATCGAAGTAATGGTTCATCTGCAAAAATTTATTTTATTGATGGACTTGCTCTTTCCAAACCATTCAATATAATGAGTTAGATTTAGCTTGAAGTTGTGGCCATCACTGTAGCACTTAATTCTACAGGCAACCTGTTGTTAGCCCTATGAACAATCGTTTAGAAATTCAAGGATTTTATAAATTGGATGTATATATTTTAGAGTGATTCATGGGATTCCTGAAAGTTTTGGAAATATACTAGCTGTATACCCTGGGCACACCTCCCATTTCCTCCAATTAACTAGGCCAACAACATATGGAGGCGTTCATTTCCTCTTATGGGAATGGACACCTTAAAGTGCATGCTTGAAAGATTCTAAAAAAGTGGGCTTCCACTGATGGACTGTCGGTGTCAAATGATGATTGCTTTTGGTTGGATTTAAACATACCAAACTTGGTCAGGCACCCTTTGATTTGAAAGTATTGGATTTTCATGATCAAAGGACTTGCTTATTTTACAGAGCGAGGCATTATAATATTTTACTCCATTTTAGCTTGGGTGCCGTGGGTTAAATTCACGGAAATTCCAAATTCATGCAGTCAAACTTGAACTTAGGCAGCATGTGCAATGTTGGATCTAGTTCTTTGGGAGATGGAATGAAGAACTAATTGCAGTGTTTTGTGGGACTGTCGGTGTCAAATGATGATTGCTTTGGGTTGGATTTAAACGAACCACTTGGTCCTGGTACCTTTTGATTTGAAAGTATTGGATTTTCATGATCCAAAGGACTTGGTTATTTTACAGAGTGAGGCATTATAATATTTTACTCCAATTTAGCTTGGGTGCCATGGGTTAGATTCACAGAAATTCCAATTTCATGCAGTCGAACATGAACTTAGGCAACATGTGTAATGTTGGATCCAGTTCTTTGGGAGACGGAATGAAGAACTAATTTCAGTGCTTGCGACACTGACATTGACTCCTTTGAGGGGTGGGGGTAAGAATTGATTGAAGGGATAGTAAATCAAACCAAAATGATAAAAATAATTCTCTGAAGTTCCCACTTCAAGCCCTTTTAGTCAAGCCCTTTTAGTCAAGCCCTTTTGGAGCTTAAAAGGCCTGAAAATTCGATTTCTTGGTGTCATTTTGTTTTCTAAATGAGAAAATCAGTTTGTTTAAATGGAATATTTCTTGTTTCATACGTGGCCCTATTTGTGGTCAAAACTAGGTGAGCAGTTACATCTATAGTTACTGGAAAAAGGCTTATTCCTGTCAGATTAGTAAAAAGTTCATTCTTTGCTTCCCAAATGCTCTGCATACAATTTTTTGCACTGCACACTTTCTGTTTTCACTTTTTATACTGCTCATTAGTTTCGACGTAAATGCTTGAAATCTCTTTTTTTTAGATATATATTTGTTTTACTTTACTTCTCCCTGTCATTTATTATTCTGTTTCATTGATGAAGTGAGTTCATTTTGCATCTATTTTCTTTTAGGATGAGGTATCTGTCGAGCATTTATCTTCTCAAGAACTGTTGCGAAGACATATCAAGCGTGCTAAAAAAGTTCGGACACAGTAAGTTTAACATTTTGTCTGTAGTACATTGTTGCCAAATGGACTTTTACTATAATACACCTGCAAGTTTTGAGGTTTTCAAATGAAACAAAGTTAAGTCCTTTTACCTGATCGTGGATCGCTTTGGTACGTGGTACGGGTACGGATATATAGTACGACACTTTCTTAGGTACGCGGTACGATGGGGGTAGGTTATGGATTGCAATTCGTTTTGGATCTCTTATGTAGATCGTTTTTACTACTATACAACATTATATATTACAGAATATTTATAAACACTAAGTTAGTTACCATTTATCTTATAGTTGTGCTTAATTTTCTATTATCTAAAACAATATATAATCATAAATCGATATACATGTAGTCGATTAATATCTATTTTACATGTTCTAAAGTGAATTGATTTAGAGTTAGTATTATAATTTAGGGTCGTATGTTTTAGTGATTTGGATCGCGAACCATCCTCGTTTAATATCGATGTAATCAAATCGTGGGTCGTTAAGGGTTTAGTGAATTGTGGTAACCTTCAGTTATGTTTAAAAGTCTCAAGTGTGCCAATCTCGTGATACCAGTTTTTAGGTGTCCAGTAGTGTCCAATATTGGGTCACGTAAAGCATAGTTGGCTTGGTAGGCATCAATGGTTTCTTTTTAATTTTAATTTTGTTTTATTTCGTTAAGCAAACAGAATCTCAGCTTTTCGTGTATATTTCAGAACTTTGAGAATAAATCCTGGATCATCTGGTCAAGTCCTCGTGACATTTTTGTGAATGCAACATCATTTTTTTCGCAGTCTTTTGGTCTTGTTAGATGTATGAGGATTCTCTTATGCTTTCCCATTGTGACTGGATGAATTTCTACCTGGAAATAGAATTCTTGAATGGATTCTTTCCATGAACTGATTTTAGTGCATACATTTCAATTTTTTTGCAGATTAAGAGAAGAAAGGCTGCAGAGAATTGAAAGGTACAAAACTAGGCTTGCTCTTCTCCTTCCCCCAATTGGAGATCAGCAGTTGAGAAATGAGGCGGCGGCTGGAAACTGAAACACCTCAAATGATCTGAAGATTCTTCTGGATATTGGGCTCCCCATCCACGCCGTGGCAAAGAATAGTAGATGCATGAGAAGCGAGGCGAAAGATGAAGCAATCAGATTGGTTGCATGATATTGTTGTAAAGTTTGTGTATCTGAATGTCTGCAAGGCAAACAATAGTAGTAACAGAGAGATTGGGTATTTATTAATCATTTGGGTTTTAAAAATTTTATTAGCTTAGTGTCCTTGAGGTTCTGTTGTTATATGTCATCAGCCTTGTAAAAAAATAAAAATTGATTTTTTTGGCTTCATAGTTAGAGTTTAATAGCCTTGAAAGAATGAAGAGTTTTCGGTATGACCAGACATGATAGCTTGTGTTGGATGTGTTCTTTGGGTCATGGTTAGGTATGTCAATCATGTCGGGTGGAGCGAATGTGTTAAAAAATACTCTATTCATACTCAATTCATTTAATATTTTGTGTCTAATGAGTTAGGTTATATTGAGTTCATGTCATGTATCAATCATATATAATTTGTATATAAACGAGTCGTTGTTGTATATTTTTTAATTAGCTTTACCCATATCATATTTGTTTATTAATTATGTTATGTTGGGTTCATTCATTTATAAAACGGGTAGTTTAAAAAAGATTCAAATTCTTTAATTTTGTGTTATATTAACGAATTGTGTCATATTTTGAATTTTTAGTCATGGTCACTTGGGATTTATATCACTCTATCGCTACAGGATTATCTGAAAATAATTTTCATAGATTTTGTCTTATTTTCTTTGTTTTTTCAGCTGGTATACCCTTTGTGATTTGTTGTTTTTTTTGTTTATGTCTCTTCATTGTTTAAGGTACCCATCTAAGGTGTAATAGTTGAAATATTTAGTCTATATTGTACTATAAAATATTAATTCTTAATATGATCCATTATTTTGATACCAAGACGACACAAAATTGTTAGCCTTAGGTAGCCAAGTTGATTGGCTAAACCTACTTATTATATCGGTAAACTGTTTACACAAAATCCACCATGCATTATAAGAACCCGATTATATATGAATAATGATGCAAGTCATAAATCCAAAATTACATAATTTTAAATAAACCGAATGTGAATTGAAAAAAAAACAAAACACAATAAGAAGTCAGTTTGTATCACGATTAAGCTTGTCAAAATGCAATATGAGGGCGGGTTTTGGGTGAGGTCTTAACGAACACATGACCCATTACCAATCTTAAGGGCAGTTGATTTCATCTTTTGTTTTTTGATTCAACGATCAAGTGTGTCCAGTTTAACTTATGCGCACCTCGACTAATTCTCTCCCTAATTCAGTCAAAGGTAGGCTATCCATATCGGGATTAGGAGATTCATGAATAATAAATCCCTCGTAGCTTGACCTCAAGAAATTATCAAAATTCAAATTCAAGACATTTAAATTTACAGCTCATCTCTGTCACCGCTTAAACAACATTACTTAGTTGATGTCATCGTTCTCGGCCATTCAAAGGGTCCTCACTTGTACGATTCCAACATAGTCTGTGCATAGTTGAAATATTTTGGGGCCTTAGCAACCTTAAATCTGCAGTCTAAGCTTTCCATTATATATTTGGGTAGCATTTTTTTTATTTCTTGTAAATTTGTTTATGTTGCTCGGGGACAGTGGGGGACCTCACTGAGGTTGTGTATGTACCACATATAATTGATAAAGTGGTCCTCGACTCTTTTTTTTTATTTTTATTTATTTATATCATAATTAGAATTGTAGGATGAAATATTCGATCTTTTAATCAATTTTGTATAGAAATAGAATTATCTTGAACTCCAAGCTCGGGAGGCCAATAACTTTGCCTCCCGGGCCCAACCTGAGACCACTACATAACACGATCTCTTTTTCGCAGCAACTACATCGACCAGATACACGTGGTCTACATGTGATTATATATACCAGAAGTTGTAATTAATTCTTTTCACACTGCTAAAGTGGTCCTAGACTTTTTCAGTATAAATTTTTTTTATTATAAACAAAATTGCAAGATGAAATATCCAATTTTTTAAATAATAAAAAACTGTTCAATATTGTTTAAAAATCGAGTTATCCTCAATCATAGCCCAGATGGTTGAAGACGTTACTTACTCGGGCTCAACCTGGAACCATTGCATACCCCTTCCCTTAACAATGACATTCATCAAATACGTGTGGTCTCCAGACAATTATGTATATTATAAATTTATTTAATAACCATAAATTTAAATAATATGTGATTGATACGGTCGATTCTCCGTTATAAAAATCAAAGTAGGGTCTAAAGGAGTGCCTTAATAACCATAAATTTAAATAATATGTGATTGATACGGTCGATTCTCCTTTATAAAAATCAAAGTAGGGTCTAAAGGAGTGCCATTGGATAAAGTTATGGGTAGGGGTACAAGTCTACCCCATTATGTGACCTCTCATTCTCATTTTGACCATATAAGAAAAGGCTTGCAGTTTTCTTTAGAACAAAAAGTTTGTATTATACTATCTATAAGGAAAAAAAAAATAGGTTCCTTTGGGGTCATCCACTCTTTCTTAGAATTAGATCATTGGTTCTTTTGCAACTTTTGTATGGGTAGGGGTACAAGTCTACCCCATTATGTGACCTCTCATTCTCATTTTGACCATATAAGAAAAGGCTTGCAGTTTTCTTTAGAACAAAAAGTTTGTATTATACTATCTATAAGGAAAAAAAAAAAATAGGTTCCTTTGGGGTCATCCACTCTTTCTTAGAATTAGATCATTGGTTCTTTTGCAACTTTTGTATGCATATTCAACTCTACTTTTTTTATTTCAAAGAAAGAAAAATACCAACTTTTTTGTATCAACTTTCTATGGACTGAAAGTAATGGGTTTTATTGGATCCTAGAAATCATTTATTGATTAGGATTGTGTCATATTAATAGAAATAGGTAAGAAAAATTGTTTAAGGGTTCTTGTCAATTTTTCAGATAAGACTTTGACACCCACAAAAAAAAAAATTGGATATCATATCAAATTTGATCAACAGTCATACGATTTGTTCTGATATATTTGTAACCATTGATTGTAAAACAAAAATAATGTATAATGAAAATGGCCACACTATTTATAAATGTTGGATACGACAGCAATCTAATGTTACTATCTCATCTACTCCACCTTTGGAGGATCATGGATCTCATAGAGTTGCTTCTAGGGTGCTGTATTTTTTATTTTATTTTTGTTGTTTTTTTCTGAGTCAGGTCCTATTACTATGGAAATTTATAAGCATTTGATGTATGTTATCACTCAGAAGATTGAAGATTGAAGATCTCGGGTCTTCTCATTTTGCTTTTCAACATGATGGCTTGCGCGCCTTTGTTTTTTAATTTCGGTATAATGATCAAATCTTTTATTCCCAACTTTTAATTAACCTGATCATAAAAAAGATATTATTTTGCAACTACTAGGTTTCAATGATAAAAAAAATTACACTTGTCACATTTTTATTGAACTAATAAAAATATGATATCGAAAAATAATTTTTTGATTTTGTTATCGATCCTAAACTTTATATCCAGACAGACCACGTGCCACTTTGGAGAAGTTGACTCCATCCAACGTAGAATGCACTGGGTGGTGGATAATCTTCTTGTCAACCCAAAAAAGAATAAAAGAAAGTGTTGGCATGATAACACAACTCAGCAGCAACTTGATGACTATAACATTTCAAAAATGTATCTGACCCAAGTTCTCAAATCACATGTGAAACTTCAACCTTAAGGAAAAGCAAAGTTCCAGTCATAGGAATAGGAAAAATACATTTCCCCTTAAAACTTATTCTTGTTAAGTTTAAAAGCTCATATGAGACAGTGGCGTACCCACGGCCTCGAGACTCGAGTTAGGGTCGAATCTCATATTGGCATGACCATCTCTTCTTCTTTCTATAGAGGTGAATTAATAAAATTTATCTTATAGTTATATCTTTTTTAAAAGCGTTATCTGATTTTGAGGGAACTGAATGAAATCATATTGACTCAGAGTAACGTTATATGGATTTAAAAAGTAAATTTAATAATTACAATCAAAAATTTTACTGTGGACAATCATCTAGTACAAAAAAAATAATACCAAAAATTAATTATGTACTTAATTTCTTTATTTTATACCCACAACGAGAACTAAACTGAATAATACTCCTTTAACCCTTTAAATAACGTAGTGTGACGATGTTTGTTATAGATAAAAAAAAATGTTATTTAAACTTAATTTATTAATCAAATTTGTTGACCTTATTCAATATCTCCTTTGAATTAGCTCTGAACCCCATCAAATATTAAAATTTGGTGTTAATCTAACAACAATAAAATTATATCATTAAATCAATAAATAAATTTAAATATTTAAGTCTAAACAATATTACGGAAAAGCAAAATTGGTGAAAGGCAAATGATGTAACAGTTTGACAAGTCAAGCCAAGCCAAGCCAAAATGAAGAATGCCTATCAAAATTCATATGAACATGTCTATCTTTTCGGCATTATTATATATATATATATATATAAAGAACAATACACAAAATCATGCCTATGGTGACACCAACCAACTAATACTACTACCACAATCTTTGATTTTCTTTAGTGATTTTGTTGTTACAATCTAAAATTTCAACCTTAAATCATTCTTTTATTCTTGGATTCAACGGATAAGAATGAGGTTTGAAATGTGTCTTTTTGTCAACAACCACTTTTTTTCTTTTTGGTTGAATTTCAACTCCTAGAGGTCGCCCTACAAATTTGAAATTCCAGTAGATATTGCGTGTAGAAGATGGCACCGCACATCTCAACATGGGCCACTAGAATTTAGAAACATATGTTTCTATTGAGTGTTTTTTGTAGGTGAGTCAGTAGAAACATATGTTGCATGATTCTTTCATTTTGTTTTCAGAGAAAGAGAGAGCATAGTTATGTTATTGGGTTGTTTGAAAACAAACTGTTTTTCTCTTGAAAGAGGTTTGGCATGTTTGGTTTATAATGCTCGACACCAACAAGGTAAAAGTAGAAATGACAAACATAATCCTTCATAGAGCTCAATGACAAAATATAATTCATATAACCCACCTCAAAAACATTAGAAAAAAGTTTTGTTGAGTCGAGGAATATCAAACATTGAAACTCCCCCCCCCCCTCCAAAAAAAAAACACATAAATTCAAATCTATAATTTTAATAAACTACGAGGCGCTTGAGTATATTTTCAGCTATTTAAATTATTGCCCCTAACTTCTCAAAATATGTATATTAACCAATCAAAAACAAATAAATGATTTTTTGTGAGTTCTCAACCTTTAGGAGTATCTTGTCATACATCAAATCAATAATATTAGTGATGCAACATTAATCTTATCTCAAATAAAGGCTACTTTAAGATATCCTTTCCTAAAAAAAGTGGTGATTAGATGATAGAACGTACACCACTAAAAGATATTACATATGCCATTATATTGGGTTGTTAAGAACAAATCACCAGTAAGTGGCTTCCATCCATTGTTTGAGAACGTAGCTTTCTTTGACATTAAATTTACACATACAACAATGGTTACCACCTTTCTATGTCACCTTTCTGCACCATTTCGATATGGACTATTAGATTACTGAATTCCACTGACTTTATTAAATTTTCAAAAGCCTGGATTAGCCGCATCAGGCGGTTCACAAATCTGGAATTCATGTCATTATTGTTACACATGATAGTGAATCAAAGCTTATTCACTTTAATAAAGTTTACAACTTATTATAAAAAAAATAGATTATAATTCATTTCAGTACAAAAATTTTTAATTTGCTAAATATATGTTAGATTATCCCCTTCGAATTCAAGTGACGATCATTATAATTAAGTAGTTTTATCATACGATAAACACTCTTAATGTAAAGAAAATTGAGATGATATAATGTTAAAATGCTTTAGAATACATAAATTATGTCACCTTCACAAGTTCAATGTATCACTAACTTGGTACAAAAGGAGGTGAGGAGGATTAGCCTATTTTCACATCTCAAATCACAATTATAAAGATAATGTATCACTTAATGGGTTTTACCTTGAAAATCTCTTACACTAAGTTAAAAAGATAACAATACACATCTTTGTGGTATATCACTATCTTTTGAAGTGGGTTAAAAGATAATCACACCAAGTCATTTTTCAAACGAGAATGTTGATATGATTAAGCATTGTAGTTAGTCACCATGGGTACAGAAAAGACAATTAGATACCATTATAAGGGATCTATAATGGTACTAAAGAGTAATTTTCAGATATTTATGACTAATGGGATCGAGTTAGGATCCCAGTTTTATTTGCTTGATCTTAAAAATTTAAACTTTATTCAGCCAGCTATAAAATTCTGGTGTAACTGACTGACTTTGACCAAATCAGAGAGTGGATTAGTCAAAGTGCCCCTGAACACCATTGACCGTCGAACCCAAAAAAAAAAAAACTAATTAGGCATGACCTAGTTGATCACCCTTAATTCTCTCAAGATTGTGCCAACTAAAAACCCAATGGATCAATCTTTGTCAAAGGCAAATATTGATATTCGATGTTGATTCTATTTCAAACTTCTCTTTATCCCTCGTTGGGTGCTTTCTCTTCAATTATGAATGCATTGCTCAAAAAGCTACAATTAATTAAAAGTCATAAATTAATTTAATTTGATCTTATCCTTTTCCAAATTATTTCAAAATGACATACCAAGAAAAGACTATAGATAATTTTTTCCCCCATAAAATTTTACTTTTTTTTTCTGAGATGCTGAGGCAATCAGTGAGATAGACATACCAAGGTCACACAAATAATTGGATAGCATAAAGTAAATGGCAGTTGAACTTTCCATTTTGATGACTAGTTAATGTCCCTATAACCCTATAATTCCCAATGAGATGAGGAAATGGGTCCATGGTCGGTTACATTTTTAATTACAATCATTAAAAACCCTCACAAGTGCTGTGTTTTTGTCACCTCACAGCGTGGAGAGCCAGTCAATTCGTGATACAAGATTAATGATGGAATGAGATATTTTTTTTTTAATTTATTTTAATGATAAATCTTTTGTCATAAACACATGTGAGACTTATAATATATGAGTAGGTCTTAGTCACTATACAATTGATGATCTACCAAAAATAAAAATTGAGAAAAAAATATAATGTAGGAGATATGGATCCAAAAACAATAAAGTATAAGATACAAGAAAGTTGATCCGGACATCTCTAATCACAATGAACTAATTTAGAGTTGGCTTAAAGCCCTCAATTTTTTTTTGATTTCAGAGGAAAAGAAGTCTGGTCCGACCCGGACTTATTAGGCGGTTTTTTAATCAATTTTTTGAGCAAAGACAACTTTTATTAGCATTGAGGAAAAGATAAAAATGAGGTTATCCAAGGATTTCTAAAGAAAAGTTGACTTCTTCGAAAACACTTCAAACGATTCTAAAAAAATTTTTAACTTTAAATTTTTTATTTCACTTTTTAAATTTATGTTTCGCACTCAAAAAAATGTAGTTCCAAATCATCCACTACCCCCCAAAAAAAAAAGATCAATTAAAATGTGTGGTGGTGGCCTAACTGTAAGAAAGTGCTTGTTTTTGCATGCAGGTGAAGGAGGGCTCACCTAAAGCTGAAGGTATAAATGGAAGGCACAAATCTGTCATTTCATGTTTGACACAAATATAAGGTAGTTTATGGTAAAATAACTAAAACAAATTGTATTACAGTACAACCCTGAAGAAATAGAAGAATTAGTTGGGGATTATAATCAAAAGGGAAGTGGATTAACATATTCAAGTAGGTGCCATTGTATGTAAAATAGATCGATCCTTAATACATTAGGGGTGATCCAGAATTGACGAAATCAAAGTCCTGATTTATCAAAGAGATTTTCAAGGTATTAGTTGAGTCGTGTCTTGCGTGTTTGGTTTACACAAATACTAGTGATGAACTAAACCCTATTGTTTAATTAATTATTGTGAATGATTACTAGTTACTATGAACTACTTAAAATACAATGACGTGTTCAAGTTGATATGCTTATCAAGAAATATCGTGACTCTCTCTTGTTCCTCAAGTACCAAAAAATCAGCCACTCTAACGTCGCAATATAAATTATAAGAAATCCAATCATTTCAAACCCTAGCAAAATTACCAATTCAAAATCCCTCTCCTCTCCAACAATTTGTAAAATGAAACAAAGGGAATACTTTTTCATTCGAGGGAACTTTTTTTTTGGGTAATAGGAAAATCTCTAGTCTATTTTTGCCGAGCGGAAGTATGTTTATGTCACTAAGACTCGTGAGTTCTAGTAGAACTGAAGGTAAATCTCAAATACATAAATCGGTCCTCCAATCTATATCTCAATTAAATCAAAATTTATATTTTAATAAAAATTCAAACCCTTACAAAAAAGCCGATACATTCAATATGTACCTTGTGAGAAGTCACGTGATTGGCAACGCTAGAATTGGAATTCAATAATGAAGAAGTAACTCTGTACTTTGCCTCATGTGTACTCATAATTGGAGGGTCATAAAAAGATACCTCACTTTGGCAGACACATTCATCAATATGCCATCTTTGTCCCCCCTTACTGTTTTTTAATGAAACCCTACTCCCCCACGCCTCTCATCAACGTTTGTCGAATGAAATCATTTTGTTTCTGTTTTTGCTTTTGATCTTCAAGAATGAAATCATTAAACCACTCGCGAGAGTAACTTAGTAGTATGGAATTGGGCCTAAAAGTACTGTGAACTCAGCCATTTAGAATTTCACTATCGTTAGTGTCTTTTGAACTTAATTTGATACTTATAATTTGAGAGTATTTATAAATATCTCCGACTTACTCTCTTGTAGAGGTGAATCCTAAATAGTCATGTCTTGAAGAAATTCCTCATTAACAAAAAATAAACTAGAATCACGGATAAAATGGATATTAACTCGGATGTTAATCGAGTCGTATTTAAATAGTGATGTTTTATGTTTGTATTATATTTGTATTATTTTCTTTTAATTTTTGCAAATTAAAATTTTAGTTACTCACATTCAAACAACACCCAAAAAAATCATTTAATTTTACGACCACTAGTACCAATATTGGTAGAGATAATAAATATAATTTTGAAATAATAAATTTTTTTTACTCGTATTGTTATTAAAATATTGAATTTTTTTAGTTGTGATAGATAATCAAATCACTTTGGTATTCATATTAGGACTTCATGACCATTAAAAGTGATTTGTATCCTCCAATTCTTGTGAGAAATTGAAGGATAGCCAAACTCATTTATTGCTAATAGCCAACGATAAAGATAAAAAAAAAACAATCAACATCATCTCTTAAATAGATAAATAATAGTAGAAATAAAAATTTTCCTCTATTTTCTTTCCATCTTTACTTTCCAAGAAAAAAGAATGGAAATAAGATTTTCCTCTAATCTATTTTTCTACCCCTCCCTCCCAAAGTCTGGCCAAACTACTTTGTCTGTAATGAAATCTTCACAAAGACCAAAAAAATCCTAACTTCAGAACCCCCAAACATCAAACAAAAGCGCTTATCTACAAACAGCTGAATCAGAAACCTCACGCTTCTTCAGTATTTTACTAATACCAATTTCCACCATTGAAAAAGTTTCGATGGTTTCTTTCTCCAACGTTCCAACCCTTTTTATTATCTCTGATATTTATGATGCCGCAGACTGATGGGATTGGGCTGGTGTGCTGGAGAATGGGAAGAAACTGGGTCTAGAGAGAGAAAAAGGCGTGGCTTTGGGGTTAGAGTCAGTGTTGTTGGTATTGGTGGTGGTGGTTGGAGGGGCGGTGGAGGTGGTGGCAACACGCTCACAAGAGGGACACATGGTGAGGGTGGTGGCTGGAAGTTGCATGTAAAATGGGTTTGATTTCTTCAAAGCTCTGAGTTCTTGGAGCTCCTTGTGTAGCCTCTTGTTCTCTTCTGTTAGTGTTTCACAACACCTCTTTAGATACTCACAATCTACCTCCGTTTGCTTCAACTTAGTCCTGTTTACACACATACACACACAAATATATATATATATGTCATTCAAGGATAAAAGTTTAACATAATCAAAATCCAACCCCATAAATTTTCAGATATATACAAATTGAATATAGACATATATACCTTGCTCTTCTGTTCTGAAACCAGACTTCAACTTGACGAGGCCGAAGATTAAGCTGTTTTGCAAGTGCAAGCTTTTGTTTCTGTGTTATTCCAAAACCCATTAAAAAAGTTCGCAATATTTGAACACACACAGACTCTCTCTCTCAAAAGTACTTACAGGATTGAGGGTATTGTGTTCCTTGAAGCTTTCTTCAAGATAAGCAGATTGCTCCTTGGAGAGTCTGAGCTTCTTACGAGAATTTAGACCATTCTCATCGTCTTCGGCGTCTACCGTATCGTTGCCAGTCGCTTCCGCGTCCCTCTTTTTCCCTCCATTTCCGGCCATGTAAAGAGAGAAATCCATCTGAAACGACGACGCCACACTGTTCGGTGACGACACCTCCTCCGCCGCCGTTGGCGTTTTGTTCACCTCAAACCCCCGCGCCACCGGTAATCTCATGTTTCCTGACGAATCCTTATCCGAACTCCCTATACCAAATTCAAAAAAAAATCAAATCAACCCCGAAAGTCTCAAAATCGAATCGACACACAAAGTTCTATACAATATATACACCTACCCATGTACATGTACACATATTTATGAAGATCAGTCCAATAGTATTACCGTCATCGGAGGGCCAAGGAAAGGGTCGTTGATGTGAAGGTGTGTGTCGAGGAACAGGATAGAGAGGGAGGAGATCAAGCTGAACAGGAGGAGAAAGAGAGACCCTTTGGTCAAGATGGTCTCTTGTCTGTGTTTTAATGGTTTCTTCTGATGTGTCCGGAGAATCATCATGGATTGATTCTGGTGCTTTGACTTGTTCTTGTACTCTTCCATTTAAATTGATTCCCAAGGCCATGCAGACACCTAGACCAGTGTTGTTGGTGGCGATGGTGTTAAGATTGGAATTTCTAGGAAAGAACTCAAATGATTTTGCTGCGTCTCCCAAGCTCAGACCAAGCTCCATCTTTCATGTGCATAAACCAGAGGCTAGAAAAACCGGAAGGAAAGAAAGGAACAGAGATATGCAAGCTAGAGAGAGAGAGAGAGAGAGAGAGGAGAGGAGGGATTTGGATTGAAAGCACTAGAAAGAGTTTTATAGAGATCCTACCCAGTATGTGAACTGTCAATTATTTGTGGTAGGAGTACAACCAAACAGTCATTTTGTTTTGTTTTTGGATAATTATAATTTATACCCTCAAAATATGCACATAATACCTATTTTGTCTACAAAGTTTCAATTGTAACAATCAAATCGTAAAATTTGACTAGAGTTTCAATTTAATCCTTACAATATAAATTCATTAATACATTCTGACATAATGGTCTTATGTGTGACTAATAGGTGATTGGGTAAAATAATACATTTTTATGGTAAATGCTTTTCCCGCACATGCTTGAAAACCTTTCTTCATTTCATCTGATTTTTGAGATAAAATATATGAGAGATCAAAAAACAAAAGATATAAACTAAATCTAGATGAAATAATTCATTTGAAAATCAAGCAAACTTGTCAAGATGTAATTTTTTCAATTAGAATTGTATATTTAAATAAAAATTAGGTGAATACTTTAGGAATAAATATCATAAATTGCTCTTTTGTTTCCTTTCTTTTCTTATTTTACAATTTTCATTTTCTTTTATTTTCCCTGTTAACATTTCTCTTGCATTTATGCAATCCATCGTGTTCCCAAACACACATGAAACAATTATACATTAGGTAAAAACTCAAATTTTCTCGCTCAATATTTAAGTTCGAATTTTCGTGACAGTTCATGGGGTACTCAACCTAATTTTCAACATTTAAAACACACAGTAAAAACTTAATTTCAACGCTAATAGAAATATAACAAAATCTAGATTAACCTCCATATACATTTTAAGCCAAAAAAAACACACACGTGAAACCCTATTTTTGTTAGGGGCTGGGACCTTCTTTAAAAGAATGTGAAGCCATCAATCAGAGTCAAGTTGTAGATTGTCTTAGATGGAGCATAATTGCAAAAATGACCCCCGAATTTTGATTAGTTTCAAACATCTATTTTAAGTTAGACCCACTAAAATTTTGTTCGACCATGGGCTTGGTTTAGCCTATTAAATGGATCAAACTAGGTTGCTGAGTATGTGAAGACCTGCCTCATTTGTCCGTAGAGATGCAATTCACGAAGTTGGGGCAAACAAAGCAGTCCGGCGTTATATATATTCTGTTATAATATTAAGTATATGTGTGCAGTGATTTTTACACAATAAATAAAAAGACAGTACTCTCTGTTAGTGAACTCGTATTTATCTCGAAAGTCGACTATCTTGTGACAAATAGAAACCAAAAGGGGCCTAAGGAATAGTAATGAATTACTTTCAAGGCTGTCTAATAGATTTCGGCTAGCCGAAGGCGGTTCCTTGCACACAAAAAATAGGGTAGATGGGCGCCAAAGTGTTTTCTAGCGTATCTCCTCCGACAATCAAATTAGTTTCTGTAAGAGAAGAAGGAAAGACATTGTGTATGTTCTAAGAAATTATTTTGTGTACCTTTGTCTTGAGTTTTGGAGGACTATTTATACCTTTCATGGGGGTCATCATTATTGACTAGTGGACAGTAGGCAGTGTTCAATCATTGGGCAGAACACCCTCCATTCTGCAGGGACGAGACTCAGGTATTAAATACTCAGTCTCCCAAGCATTTAATGCTCTTTCTCTCAGGCTCCTGAGCATTAACTACGTCTCATTCCTCTGAGAAATCATTAAATGCTTTCTTGTGACAACTGGGTATAAGTAGAGGCCTCTTTGTATCTTGGGCCCTATTTTTATACTCCCTGCCATGTGTGTTAACTCTTTTTGGTTATTGGTCTTGTCCCTCCTGCCATTTTGATTTCATTGGAAAGGTAAGTCAATGATTCATAGTCTAACCCTGAGATTGATGGGTTGTAACCGTCAAAAATACATCCAAGAGCCAAGATGACGTGTCCAAAAGAATTCTCAGGATCTAATCACGTCGGGGATATGTGTCTAAAGGGTAGAAGATGTTTTCGGTGTCGAGGACACGTGTCTTTACTGGATGGCATAAAGTATTCTCAGCGTCGAAGACACGTGCCATCACTAGAAAGGTTGAAGGTGTCATCGATACCGAGGACACGTGTTATCTCAAAAATGCTTAGGAGCCCTCGGAGTTGATGGCACGTGTCGTCACCGGAGTGATGGAGGGTGTCTTTGGCGCCGAGGACATGCGTCAGATTTTCACTCTTTCTCAGAATTGTCCCATCAGTATACTAGTAATAACTTCATATCTGAAGACATTTTGTAAACTAAAAATTGAATATTAATTATGTACTATTGATAGGTTAAACACTATTTTATTTTATTTTTTAATTATATAATTTAAAATTAAAATAGACACATATAAAATAAGAAAAGATGTATGAGAAAGAAAAGAGAAAAATTAAGTGTTGATTAACGGGGTTGTCGGTTATTGAAGAGTGTATTTTGTTGAGTTGATGTTTTTGAAGGAAAAAAAAAATTAGAATAAATTTTATGCCATTGAATTAAAGTGAATAAAAATTAGATCAACTTAACAAACAAATAAGGCTTTTTTTTTTGAAGGTTGGTCTGATGGTCTATATTGGTAATTAGTGGAGGCTGATTTGAAAACAAATTTGTGGAGGATGGAAACTTAAAATTGATAAGATTATGATTCATAAACACTAATTTTAAATATAATATCAAAATTTATCACAAAAGGATGAGGTTGTGAGAAAATGAATTATTTGGGATCCTATAAAATTTTAAAATAGATCCTATTACACTTTTAAATCAATTTTCATTTTTTTTAATTATAACTTTCTCCTAATTGAATTATAATTAATTATTATTATAAATTGTAAATAGATCTTATTTATTTATAATATCTTTAAATGATATCTCATAATTTTACCCAAAGTAAATAGATGAAGAACTAAGTTGAGAAAAAGTTTTGGTGAAAATTCAAAATCAACTAAAAAATTAATTTGAAGACTTAATCAGATACCTAATTCAATATTACATGGGAGTACCTCCAACTTTGACTCTACTTTTGACACAAATTTAATGGTCTAAAAACCTTCTCCAACTTTGGACTCAGACAAATTCTAAATCAAGAAAAAAAAACTTTATTTTAGACCCAAATTAAAGAAGACTCTAATTCTATACCAAACTTTCAACGATAATTTTTTATCTTATCAAAAGTCTAAAAACTTCTTTGACAACTTGTTATTTGCCTCCCTATTTTATGTTGTTTCCATCGCGCACCATCGTCATAGCTTTTATAGATCTTTTGAAGGCTCATTGGTAAACTTTTTCCTCTCCATCTTTCATTCAATCATTCATTTTTGTTAAAAACAATCCATTTTTTTTTTGTTAAAAATAAAATAAGGGATTAGAAGAATACAAAAATTTAGGGGTGGTTTTTTTTTTTCTGTTTTTTTTTTTAATTTGTAGGTAGTGTTGTATCCATATTTAATTTTTTTTGAATTATCCATTTGTGAAAATATATGAAAGTTTTATTTATTTTATCAAATATCATTATTTGAATGACACCAAAAAAAATGACACAAAAAAATTAAATATTTGAATTTATTCATTAGAAATTAAACTTTTAACTCATATTTAAACTCAATTTGAGTTTAAATTTGAATTATGGATAGAATTACTCTGAGTATGAATGTTAATATCAAACGGAGCCCACTTTTAATTTAACAACGATAATTGATTTTGTCAATAGATTAAATAGGTAAGTTTTAATTAAAAAAACCAAAAAAAAAATATTAAACTTGGGGAGCAACTGTGACAACACGTGTCATGATGAGGTTGGCCCAAGAAGAAACAACTTGGGAGTTTGAACCTGTCTGTCGGGAAATTAATAGATAATGAGAGAGATTTGTAAAGAGAGATAAGCATGCGATTTGACCCACAAGCCTCCTTTTGGCCAGTCATTTGTCAAATCAAATCTGATTTTCTCTCTTACTCCTACTACCCATTCATCCTCTTTGATTTGTCCAAGGAAAAGCTACAGCTCCACAGTCTACTTTAATTTACTTTTTATGTCTATTAAATTACAATGACACACCCTGTTATTTTTAATAATCTTAAGAGAAATCCTTGTAACTTGTAAGTAGAAGAGAACCAAGTTCCATTATTTTTCTATCTTGCCCATGTTCCTTTTGCTCGCATCTAAACACTCCATTTCTAGTATTAGAACCATGAACTTGGATTTTTTCCCCTCTCTCTCTCTCTCTCTTACATGTTCATTATGCTCGCTCTAAACAGTCCATTTCTAGTATTAGAACCATGAATTAGTGTTTTTTCTTTTCATTATTACTTTTTCTCTCTCTCTCTCACACACACACACTAACATTTGTCTCGTTACACAACTTACACATACATACACATTTATACCCACACACTTGAACAATTTTTGAAAGAGAAATTAAAATAAAAATAAGAACACCAAGATATACGTGGTTCAGCATAAAGTTAGAAGTGATTGATTATATGGAGTTCAACCTTATTTATAAGGTGAGAATGAATCAAGATAAATATATCACTTGTATCTGACACCATCTATTGATATTTGGAATATACTGATATTAATAAAATCTTGAAAATTTTTATCATATCTTTATTACCAAATTATGATGAATCGCTTTAGATTCTAACTTTTCTCTAATAATACTATATCTGCCTCTCTTACATTCATTGAAACATATAACACACCAATGACTCCCCTAAGTTTAGAGGTGTTAATTTTATCCATTAACACAAATTCGATCTTACACTGAACTTGAAAATAACACGATTAATTGAGACGCATAATAAATGAGTTAAATTAAATTTTAACACGATTAACTAGTATTGTAGATAAAAAATAAATATTTAACAAATATTATAGACAAAAAATAAAAAAATATATATAGTTTTTAAAATAATGTTATATG